ATAATTTCCCACAATTCCTAAATTTTCACCAATTTACCCTATTTCTACCTATAATCTCACTGTTTCCTTTTCTAAGGGGGGGGGGGGGGGGCGGGCAGCCTCGCCACAGGCCACTACTTAGTTTCTCCTCAATCCCACACGTGATTTCGAGCAACTAAAGTGGGTACGACCCCCCCCCCCTCCTACAAACTCAACCAGGTACGACCCCCCCCCGTTGTTACTCGTAACAACGTAGGGTTGACCCTGGTCCCAGAGCCAAGTGGTTGGCTCACTCACCTGAATGTCTCCCCCTCCCCCTAAGGACACGCTTGACCAAAGAAATCTTTCCTGTAAATCACAGGACTGTCTTCATGTGTCCTCACGTCCTTGGGGAGAGGGGGAGAGAGATCCAGGTGAGTTGAGCCAATTTACTGTGCTTGGCGACAAGGCTTAGCAGGAGAAGGGATTTTGTAGGAGGATGCAAGCAACATGTGTGCTCCCTGGCGTTTCTACCCCTCCTGGGCTTACAATTAGTCCTAGTGTCAGCATGGGCCCTGTTGTGGCGTCGCCGCCCCCCCTTTCAAGGAAATGAGCGCGAGGTGTTGCAATGCAGAAGCGTTCTTATAACATGAATAGAGTGATCCGTCAAAAGAACAGCTGACTCGCCTTGAGTAGGCGAGTAGGCGATCACTCAATGGGTGGAGCAAACAAATCGATACATATCTTTCGCTTATCTCCTACCTGATCGCCTAATCACCTGACGCCTAATCACGCTTAATTTGCCAAAAACGCCCCACGTAAAAAAATAGCAAAACAATAAGCTCATAGTTATTGCCAAACAATCGATGTAACGCGAATCTTCTACGTATACCTTCGGATGGAACCCCTTTCACGCGACCATCTCGAAGCATGCAACAACTAAGGAGATTCATAGTTCGCGACAATGAAAAACATATGTATTGACGGCGAGATTAGGATAGTAGTAGAGTAGGAGATTGCGCTGACAAGATTAGATACGTATCGATTGAAATCGCTGGAGAGTAGTAGATTGCGATATTACGATAGTAGGATAGTAGTAGAGTAGGAGATTAGGATAGTAGTAGATTAGGATAGTGCGCTGACAAGATTAGATATGTATTGATCTATTCGCTTGAAGTCGCCCAATCTACTACTCTCCAGCGATTTCAATCGATACGTATCCAATCTTGTCAGCGCAATCTCCTACTCTACTACTATCCTAATATCCTGTCGCCTACTATCCTAATCTCCCGAGTCGCGAACTATGAACGCGGCCTAGAGGCTCCATTATTTATTTTTCACATTTACCCATCATTACTAGAAGATGCAAATCGCTTAGTGGTCGTTGCGATGTCACTGGTTGTGCTTTAACCCCTCCCGTCCAAGCATTTTGCTCCTCGTATGAAATGGAAGAAAATTGGGCATATTCTCATGAACGAACTTATTAATGGAGTGTTCATAGTTGGCGATCGTACGTGCGATTAGGCGATCGACTACTCGCCTGATCGCCTAATCGCACGTCCGATCACCAATTATGAACACTCCATCACACCTTCCAAAAACACCTTGAGCATTAACAGCTGTACTGTAACTGCGTAGTACTATTGAATTACTCGAATAAGAAAGATACTATTATTAACTGTCATAAGTTAACATAAAAACTGCAACTTACCCCTAGATTTTGACAAACTCATTGGCTATCCTTTAAAAAAGCTCAGGAATTAACGAAATGTTGCCGGCTGTTGGTGCGCTTGCAGCTCCTGTACGATTGCAGCAACACTCTTACGCTCACACGACTTCGAGAAACTCGTACTTAGAAATGAGTTATACCTCGAAAACGTCTAAACATAAATCTTGTATGATAATATGTCTTATCCTTCGCACTCACTGTTTGAGTACAAATAGGAAGAGTATCAATCATTCTTAACTCATTGGCGACATTGCGGTCGATGTGGGGACGCAGCATAGAGGTAATTCTTCTGCGCAGGATTTCCAAAATCATTTTAGTGGCATACTAATCAGGATGGCGTTGCAGTACTTATGGTAATCATGGTCCTTGCATATCTTTCCTAATTGAATATTTTACACAAGGGGATCTTGAAAATGATTTTCAAAGGAAAGCTTGCTATTTTCGAATGTGCAAAGCTGGCTGTTTTTTGTTTTCCTTAACCCATTCGCGACCGCGCAGGATTGCGCAATAGCAGCAGCGTCAGGAGATTTTTCTTCAATAAAATTCGAGTGGAGGGAGATTTCCTCTGCCCAGGGCTGGCGTAGATGAGCGAGGGTATGAAGATTCTTTTCATGGAAGAAAACTTTCCAAATTCCATTTCAAGCCCTGCAGCCACAGTAATGCCATTGTCCCGAGTGAGAGCTTTGTCAGCCACCGGTGGCTGACATTGTCACGAATGGGTTAGCTAGAAGTCAGTGATACCACTTCTCTACAAAAAGAGGTCTGGATTCCGACCGAAGTACGGAATTCTGGAATAAATAAATTTAATAGCGTTCGCCGGCTCGCTTGCGAATGGCAGACAGAGCTGTTTGGACAGAGCGAGCACCTGAAGTAAGGCGTGAATGACATGTCCGGCTGTAGTCGCCCGCACAATGGCGCGACGCCTCAATTGGACGCGGTGCCCGCTCTGTCCAAACGGCTTATCTCGAAATCCACTTGCGCAAATGAAAAGACTTACGCTCGTTTTTGCCCAGCGATGGCAAAAATTTGGAGAAGTGCAAAAGTCTCAACAGTTTTCTAACTTCGATGTTTTATACTTTCCGCTCCGCGATTGCTGCTTTAGTGTGCCACATTTTTGGAAATATTGAAAATAGGCGTGGTCTCCCGTGGCAACGCGAAAATTAGCTTCTCGCCGACTTAGTATTTAACCAATGTTGTGCGACAATGTGCTGCCTTAATCAGCGTGGCCGTTGAAGCGACGGTAGTGCCAATATCCTGCGACTCTAAGCAGGGTGAATAACGGTCGAGGAATCCTCGACCATAGCTCTCTACCATGCGAGAGTAGTGCCGAGAGTGAACATCCGCGCGGAGAGCACAGACGGCACGGCATGGCGAGTGTGAATGTCCGCGCGAGAGATCGTCTCTGATCGGGCAGAGAATCCTCGACGTGCCGTTGAGGAATCCTCAAGCGATATTCACCCTGCTAGAGCGATGAAACCCAGCGCGGAGCGAGCGTTTCCGCATCATGTTGGTTTTTGAAGCATAACTCTTTGGAGAAGCTATCCAGGTAGTCGAGAAAGTGACAAATTATAGGCAAAAGGTCTACCGAGTAGGATGTTCGCAGGACTAATTCGTAGCCAATCTTGTCCAACTTCTGCAGGGTTGGTTGTGGAATGTGCGTCCGAGCTACCTGTCAGGGACGAGCCGGTTCCTTTATAATGAGGAATTTCGAGCATATGTGCCAGAGTTCTAGGAGTAGTTTGACACATTATCAGGAGTACTTTTTCCACATTAACAGATCCACCTGGTTACGAAAAGCTAGACCAGCCGCTGACCTTATGAAAGTCACCTCAACCTTCCTTCAGTGAAGTTTCACTTTTGCAAAGTTTGTAGAGCCTGATCGCGGTCGATCACTTCACCAAAGGTTCGTATTCTGTAGCAAAGAATCCGTTCTTTGTCGTGCGTCGCAAATGATCAAAAAGTCAGGTCGTTTTCATGGCATGAAACAAGCTAGAACGCGGCGAACGACCCTTCAAAATGGTGAGCTGTCGCGGCACGCCCTATTTGAATTTTTGGGACTTTCCAGCTCTTCCCGTACAACAAGAAAACAATGCAAGTGCGATTAGTTAGGAGGAACCCTCTCAATAGATTTGTGCAAACGTGCTTCAACCAGAACGTTCGACTAATCGTTGGCGTTGTCCAATCTCCGATCACCACCCTCACAATCTTTAGGGCTCTCGCTATTCTTACAAAAGCTTTTTGAACAATTGCTTCAGACCATATTTATTGCATCCCCTCCCCTCTCCCCCCCTTCATTTTTACTCAGCCAAGTGCGTCTATAATATCTTGACCTGCTTCCTCTCCATACTGGCCTGCTTTGAGCTAGAAAAAGGAAATCATGCAAATTTGCTCTTGGAGTATGCCGTATTCAAGGCTTCAAAAAATGACAACTAAATAATAAGGAACATAGCTAGCCTAGCTGTTAGATAGAACAAGAAAAGCTCTTCAAAACCACATACAGCTCATTGGCAGCTTGCTTGAATTCGTAACAAAATAAAGCGTTCAAAAACGAACACACCGAAAAGCGCAAGAACTTTCTTCACGACCTAATAATTTAACATCCCCTCGTCACGAGCCTTTATTCAGCCTTTACGGTCTCAGCTACCCGAGAGCGCCGAAAATAAGGACTTGTAGGAAACGTCCGATCCACTAAAGGCAGGCTCGCCCGCTGCGGGTGAAATCATATATGCTGGGAACACCTTCAGACATCTCCTCTCTACACCAATTCTTGTTTTGCTCTCTAGGCTTTCTGCCAACCGAGTTATTTTTTCATCAAGCATAGCTTTACTAGAGAACGCTCCACCAAAAGTAGTGCTCTTCTGAAATCTTCCTGTTTCACAAATTTTCGTCAAAACGAAACGCAACGGCACCTGTGTTGTTTTCTTGATGAACAAAGGTAATATTTTATAAATTAGGCGTTAACTTTATAGCGTACACGAAAAAATGTACGAATAATTTTTGAACGTATTACGTCTCAAAGCCTTCATCTACAGTGGACAGCACCAGCTCCAAAACCTTTGCTCCCATTGTTGCGAAAGAAAGGTCGTCTTATTGCATGCAAAAAAAAACAGAAGAAAAAATAATAATTAAATTGGAATATTCATTGGAAATCTCTACAACATAAAAACAGGCTGCTAATAACAATAACAAGAAGTAAAAAAAAAACAGCTAAGCTATGTATTGAGGCTAACAATTTCTATTTTCAACGCATACACAAAAACAGGCTGCTAACAACAATGACAAGAACTGAAAAACTAAAAAAACAACTATGCTACTAATTGAGGCCGACATCTTCTTTTATCTTCAACGCTCGCTCTTTGATCAAATCGCAGTGGCAGTTCAAAGCCATCAATAAAACTGGAAAGAAAATATTCTTAGACTTTTTTTTTCAACAACTACAAATCAGACACAACACCTTTCTCCTTCGTAGCTGATGGACAGTCCGGCCACTTTTCAAGTGTGTCTAGAACCCATGTGAATGTGCGTAGATCCTTAACATGAAGAACTTATTTGCATTCAAAGTCCGTTGACTTCACGCTCAACGTAGAGGAATCATGAAAAATCACCAACGGCCCATGGAAAGGCCCAGCCATAGCTAATTGCCGACTTTGAATGCTGATCTCAAATCTACTTTCCAAATCTGCTCGATTCTCCGATCGACTCATGAAGCAAAAGAGAGCAACGTTAGTGGTCACGACTCACCGTCAAGATTTCTTAGGATCGAACCCATATCGTGTTCACTAGTTTGCTTTTTTCGGCAATACAGCTGCACAGTCCGTAAAAGCCGCTAGCTGTGTTTGTGGAAACATCAAAACAGTAAACACGATAAAGGATTTATCCTAGGACGTCTTGACTGTAGGACCCGACCACACCCATTGCGCTCTTTTGCTCAATAACTCCGTTCAGAGAATCGCTGAGATTGGGAAAGCTGATTAGAGATCAGCGTTTAAAAGCACATCACATGCGTATACGTCTACTACTGAACGGCCATGGCGACCTAGGATCCTTTCATTGTGAGTTTCAAAAAGGAGGGCCAAAGTTGGCTCACGGAAAGCGAAAGAGTCGCCCTGCTCTTAAAGGAATCTTCCACGGACCATGGACCAGTGGGCGGGACCGGAAGTGGTTTTGCGACGAAATGCATGGTAGGTACGGATCCACGTTCATGGGAAGGTTTGAAGTGAATCCTGTTCACGTTCGTGCGTTCGACACGTGGATCCGTACCTACCATGCATTTCGTCACAAAAACTTCCGGTCCCGCCCACTGGTCCATGGTCCGTGGAAGATTCCTTTAAAAAGCGGAGACACGGTCGGAAGGCGCGGCAGAATTCTCATCGATAGAGGTTTTATCAGGGAACGTTTTGAACTTCCCATGGAAATTTGAAACATCGATAGTCTTGGACGTAGATTACTAATTCATGAGAGCGTGAGAACTGCTAAGAGAGTTTTAACCCAGTTGCAAAAAGAACCGAACATAATGCAATAGCCTTCTTGAACACGGTTGCTTTTTGCCTGAAACTTGTTCTGTAAAGGTAAATCGGTGCCTGATTATGAACGTGAGCTTCATTTTTGGCGCAGAGCCACGGCGACTGTGGTTCTACCGGGTAAGCTCGCTTCAGTGACATTTTTGCCAAATAACTGGATAAGCTTTTCTAAAAGTTCACTTTCAGTGTCCAACTTGCAATCTAGCGTTCAACGACTAGTCGACTTAATCTAGTCTCCGCTACCTCACAATTCTCCGGGAAGTCCAAACGCATTTCGTGGTTAAGGAAAGCCATCGCTTACCCTAACCTAAAATGAACTAGAAACCAAAGACCTCCGGAAAAGCTTGCGAACCCATTTTGGTCCCACCTCGGCCCACGTTAAGTTAACACATAACGCAGTGACGCGTCTCACTTTGCGCACCTCGCTGGACATTGAGACGCGGTTGCGCGTCTCACCCTTGTCATCCTTTTTCTAGCGTATGCGGGGATTCTTCCCAATTTGCTTGCCTACTATCCATGGATTACAACATAACATAACTGTAACAACGACGGGTCACGGTATGATCAAATATGCTCCAGTTTAGCGGGAATTTTTTAAGCACCGCGGAATTTGCATCCCGGTTCATCCCTCGTTTTCTTCCTATTCTGATGAATATGTAGTTTTGGCATCCACTACAGAAGAAAAGGGCTTAAATTCCAATTTTCTTTACCATTTCACGTTTTTTGATCGGAATTTCGCTACTATATCTTCGATTACTTTCTACGCATTGAATATTGCTGAAATGGTTTCGTACCTTTGAAGCTTCCCAAGTTATCGTTCGAAATTTACGGGTGTGAGGTGTGACGGCCGCGCTCGCAAAAGCGCCCTTGTCCCCACGCGGTGCAAAAACCCAAAACGCGATGTCGTCAGGCAATCTGCCGCACGAGAAGTGAAGCAGCGCCTTAAGTTAAATGGACTTCTAATTCAAATATGTCAAAATTCGGGCTTGGTTATCCGGCACGTCACCACTATTATCGGACCCGCATTTTTTGCGAGCTAAGCGCAAAGAGAAATAGGCAAGGAAACGCTCCTCCGATTACTATTAATGGAAGCGAGTGCACAGCGCTTTCAAAACTGGAACTGGTAAGGTACGCTCAGATTCCAATTCACTATTAGCAAAAAATGTTTCAGAAGAATCCTTCTATTGAAACCCTCATTTGAACGTTGGCGTTTTTATTCAAGACTCAGACCTTCTTAGTCGCAAGGGGTAAGTTTTTTTTTCCGAACGAGTGCCTTATTTCAGCTTTTAGTCTGCTCCTAAAGTGGTTCACTATCCATTTCCCCTGATCACACCAGGGTATAAGTACATACTTTGCGACACCACTGTCATGGCACCAAAACCTAATAACAGCGGAAAACTTGGCGAAAACACCACAGATTTACAGAAAAAAAACACCTGTAATATCTGATTTCTGTCGACTTTCGCTTCGGTGATCCCTATACTGTCCCATTCTTCATCTTCATCCTGCACTTGCTTATTCGATGCTTCGCCGTCTTCCTGTCGAGAAAGAGGAACTTTCTTTGGATCAACAGTCGCCTTTTCACGTTCATGTTCGCTTTGTTCATGCCCTGATTTCGAAGAGCTTTCTGGGACAGCCGAGATGCTTATTTGGTGCTCTTTCTCCTCGAATGTTGTTGCAGCAGTGGACCTATCACTACTTTCAATCCTCTCTAAGCGTTCGAGAAGGTCACGTATGCAACTTCTGACTACCAAAAGGTCTTCGTCTTCGATTTCCTTCACAGTAGTCACATAATGATCAGTTGGAACGCCAAGCAAACTTTCTGATCCGTTTCTACTAAAATTTGTGGCACATTGAGGATCTTCCGGCGGCATGGGTTTCTTGGAATAAATTGTAGCTTCATGGTCTGATGGGTTCTCTTCCTTTTCAAAACCGCGTTCTATAGGCGCATCCGAGCTAGATCCAGTAGTAGCGGTACGTATCTCCTTGTCCTCTGGTGCTGGCATTGTATTCGAAAACATCTCCACACTACGATCATGAGATCGCGAAACGGACGGCAGGCATTCGTCTTTCGCTCCATCGCTTTCAGAATTTTTGAATTCATTTTTCTTCTCGAATTCGAGTAACAACGTCTCCCAATCACACGTTGCTTCATTTATGCCGTATATGGAATTGGCGAATATGTGTACATCTTCCTGTAATACAAAATGTTACATTATACCACGAAATATTACCAAAAAATATGTTCTTTGCTCATCGTATACTAGATTATCCAATGTTAGCATACAATGAAAGAAAGGACAGATAAAAAAATTTTCTAGATAACCACATCCTAACCTTTGGACGTCCTCGTCACGAATCAAGTGCTCAGTAGCATCCCCGATGATATAAGATCAGCTCAATCAGCACAGAGTTTTATCATAAAATAACCGCTTTCTATTCAGGCCTCAAAGCAAAACTGACCATATAATGCTCAAGAAATTGAAAAACTAGATATTCGCCATGTCGCATCTCTTGAAACAAGCTGAATAGCGACTTTCAGATGCCTTCTCATCCTTATCGCATGTGCAATCCGGTAATTCCGCACAGCTGATCTGTCACAAAATCATGAAGTAAACAGATTAAGTATCAGTTCGTTTTTTGAGCGTTCGCCAATGTGAAACAGCGTTTTTGATAAAAAACCTTTTCCAATATTGGATGCAACAATTTTCAAGAAGGCAACGGGCCGAGTATGGCTGAATCCAGTTTCCTAATCGCCGGCATAGAATCGTGTTGACTGACTATGAATGAATCCCAGAAACAATTTGTATAAATCCGAATACTCAGTTATTTCACTACTACAGTTACATCAGTACATTGATCATTTAAAGGCTAACCGTAACACAGTTTTGGATAGCAGCTTCGTTTGGAGCCCTTCAAAAAACGCCCTGTTCGCACTCTCTCCCTTTGGAAGATCAGCACGGTCACGCCCCACAAATAGAATACGGTACAACGGATCTACGATAGTATTATGATCGTTCGAAATTTCAAATTTTCGCTACGCACTCCAGGTTGCGGAGTATTGACTTCACGTAACATAAAAACGTCCCACTCCAGGATGCGATGGCGTTAATGGTTGTGAACAAAATTTACTGGGCAAGAGATAGGGGACAGGGTCAAGCGTGCGTTGAGGAATCCTCGACACGTCGCAGGGGGGGGGTCGTATTGGCCCGCTGGGTGGAAGAGATCGAGCCATTTTGATGCAGTGGGATCATCACCGTCGGAAGACAAATATCAAGGATGAGTCGATGCCAGGCCAGAGGATTTCCAATGAAAATGATATTTCACCCACACAAAATTTTCGTGATTCTGAGGCGTCCGGTAATTCTTAGTTACTTCAGTGTTTTATCACCACACAAGTTAAAGAATCTGAATTTCGCACGCTTTCCAAGAGATATTTCATCTTTCAAGTAAGACCCCGAATCTGAAGGGATGTGAGGTACACGGCGCATCCGAGAAAGGGTCTAGTTGTTGCGCGCGCTTCAACTACGGCTCCTTGGACAAACAACCTCAATTCAGGAACAATCGAGAGAATTCTGAAAGTGTCCGTGCGCATTTACAGGGAGGTGTACACCATTCAACATTGCGTTAACGGACTCTTCAGGGTTAAATTTATAAACATGTAACCTTTAAAGTTGAGAAACGCTAATCAATCACTTTTCTTAGAAAGAGAAAAGCAGTGATTCCAAATCTGCTCTTACTTTAGTACATAATCGCCCTTAAAAGGATATACAGCCGTTGAAATAGTGCCAATGTAGCGAAAAAGTACCTTTCGGCGGTACTCGTGCAAAATCCTCAACGTAGCCGTTTTTTTAATACTGGACGTTTGGAGCAGTTCTAGTAAGCATTTGATAGAGCAAATCTTCTAGTTTATGATGGCGTATTTACTTTTCGGATTGGATGAGTTTGAACGGAGTTATGGCTTTAGGAAGTAAAAAAACTCGCACTCATCACAAATTTTCCTCGTTAATTTTGCGAAAATCCTCAACGTGGCCATTTTTCGAATACTGGACGTATAGAGCTGCTTTAGCAACGGTTTGGTAGAGAAAATCTTCTAGTTTTGTCTGCCATATTAACTTTTCGAATTTGACGAAAATGAAGCAAGTTGTTGCTTCGGAAAGTGTAAAAACTCGTGCTCATCTCGAATTTTCCTCGTTAATTGATCTAAATTTGTTATTTCTTATAACTTTTTGTAATTTCAATACTGATTAGAAAAAGCTCTTCACAAAACTCCCAAATCTGCTTTCAGATTGAAAATTCGTCATATTTGAAGAAAGTTATAATCATTTGAATATTTGTTCAAATTTCAATAGTAAATAAGCTGCTCCACGGTCAACGCCAAAGTCCAGTCAACACACAGCTGGCGAAGGCGGTTAAAAAGCTTCTTTCAACTGAAGGGCTACGTGCAAATTGAGAACCACAATCTGTGTAGTACTAGAATTTGGTAAGTCTTGTGGAGGAAATAAATAAAGAACAGATGTTGTCATGGTATGCCATTTTTAGTGGCTAGTTTGTCGTTTTCTGGTCTGTTTCTCGTTTGCTCGTTTGGTAGGACTCATCAATAATGATTATTCTTTGACTTTTTCACTTTTGTACTTCTTAACGAATTTTTTTGTGGGCGGTGGGGTAGCAGGGCTTTTTTATGAGCAGTTTTGGGGGAGAATTAAACAAGCTTTTCAACCTTTTCATAGTTCGGCTTTTGAAGAGGGTTGTTTCATGGACTTCGGCCTCCGGCGGAGGGTGGTGGGGGGGGGGGGGGTCGTATTTCCAAATTTTCCTCAACGCCTCGCTTGACCCTGCTTGGAGGTGTGCCACTATCAATATTGGAACGAATGCCACATTAAATTCAAAAAGTGCGATAACTGATGCTCAAACGATGATGGTGTTCTCGTGCTTAAGTGGAAGAATGCGCCGAATGCGTCTAGGAACACTCGGATTCTCGAAGGTACCATTGTGCGGCACCATGGAAGGGCTGACAATGAGGGGTTTTGAAAGAGGACGTTTCCATTAGAATCGGCCTTTCATCCATGAGCATTTATGACTGCCCATCAAATCAAGGACAAACTGCTTACGATCGCGTTCCTGACGCCATTTTTTGCTTTTATAATATATTAGCAGTGACCTCGCCCATTTCCACAGAACCATGGTTAACACGTTGACGACATTGTGCAGCGCATGCGCATCACACCTTGAGCACCGTGTGGACACACAAAATATTTATTTTTTTCGCGCATGCGCTACTTCTTTTCTAATTTTTTGCATCTATTCCATAGACTACACCATAATATGACTAGACACGGCGAGGTTCATTGAATGGTTGAATATGCTCCTTTTTAGCGAAGGTTTTCTAAGCCCTACGAATTTCCCAATTGTGTTCATTCCTAGTTTCCTTTATATTCTGATAATCTTGGTCATAAAAAAGAGCAGTAGAAGTAAGTACAGACCCACACATATAGCAAGACATATTTTTTAGTGGAGCAACCGCGTCAAAAATAATTTTGAGGTTCACTGCAGCAAAAGCAACTGAAACTTGCCTTTCATCGCCAGAAAACGTCAATTCGATCGATTTTTTACAGTTGTCCCTTCTGATAAGTTTGACACATCGAATATCATTCTAAACATTTTGTTGCATCCGAGTTTTGGGTATTTAAAGGCACAACCCAGGCAGAGGTCGTGTGAACTCTTCTCTTCGGTCAGAAGTATAGAACCCTAGGGGACAATCACAAATGTGGCGTTCACGTGCACGGAATTCGACCGACAAGAACGCTTTGGGCTTGCAAAGTAAGCTGCTCGAGCTGCAGCGAACGAGCTCTCTTATCAGGCCGTTGTCTGGTGCTCTCTCATCTGATGCGCTCTCTCGCCCCATACTCTCCTCTTCGCGCTTAGTCTCTCGTTCCTTTAGCACAGCCAATTAGGAAGGTGAGTGAGCCCTCAACCTGAGCGTTTTCGACGGATTCTTTTCCTTTTTTCTTCACTGCCGGCCCACTTGGCACCGATACATTCACATTCGTGTGCAAGAGCCACACCAGTGCGATCCTGGGGCATGCCTTTAAAGCTCAATTTCAGGATTTGAGATGAAGCGGCGGCGCTGCAAAATCGCCATGGTCCCACGCGGCGCAAAAACCCAAAACGCGCGTTGTCGTCAACGTGTTAAACGAGGACTCCCTCTATTCCCCCAATGCATTTCTTTATGGTAACCTCTAGACCTTAACATTCAAATATGTCAAGCCGAATGATGCACAACTCGTACTTTGATGATGCCTTCGAAAGGACTCGATTATCACCAGGCCACGAAGTAAGAATTAAAGGCAACTCGCGTAGGGTATGCAGATTCTTTACCACCTTATCACCATCATTCCATGGATACTAGAAATAGTAACAATAATCAACGCTAATCAAATAAATTAGTCACCGATGTCAGAAAAAATTGCAAAACAAAAATCAATGTAAAACAAAGAAAGCAAGTTTTCATAGGTTACCATTATCGAAATTCGACCAATGGCCCTCGCTCAAAAACGAAGATAAAGTACGCAACTTTTGATAACATGTGAAGCTCTGCTAATTAAGTGGAAAGGCAATGAAAATATGACACAAAAGAGTAAAGTGGAGATGGAGTGCAAAATGCATAAAATTTCAATATAACTCATAAAGTCTGCAATATCTTTAGCTCATTCGACATTCTATATTCTCACTATTTTGCTTCGATTGCTCTGACATCATACCTGTTCATTTTTTTAAAGTATATGTATTTCTTCCTCTTGCTCCCACTTCTCACATTACTCTTTCTTTCTTATAGATTTCACCATCTTTCGAAGGAATTTCTTGTTTCATCCAACACTACCTCACCGATGAGCCTCCGAGGAGGTTAAATGGAAAACAAGTGGTGTCGTCCTGAGTGGAAGCAAACAGAACCAAGTTACTCATTTTTACTTAATTAGTACTTCTTGTTTACTTCATATTTAGCAAGAACCATGACAAAAGCGCGCTGTCATCGGCAAGCTGTTTTTGAGTGCTTCATCGGATACTAGAGAAGGAGTAAAATTATGAATGGACTCATAAAAAAATAATCGTAGGAGGACAAAAGCTTTTTTTCGCTTTAAGAACTAATCAAACAGACAGTGTCAAATTTCTCTCTCAATTCTTGTCAAGTGATTCCCTACAGGAGCTAAGGGACTTTTTCTCGCCTTCACCTACGCAGCCATCCATACTATAACAAACTCTCGAGCAGAGACATTAATATGAATGATCGGGAAAGTGGTTTAAAACTCTTCAAATCCAGCAAAACGAAAAAATCACGACCTGTCAACAATTTTTCTTGGAGATTAACCTTAAAAGCAAATGAAAACCTCAGGCCATAGGTGGCCAAATTTTACGAAACTGTTTGAAAAATATCATTTAACTAACTGCATCAACATTCACCCTTTCATGTCCGTATGACATATGGTGACTAACCAGGAAGGTCTTTCAGGACATGGAGCCCTTTTTGAAAACGGTTTTTTGCATGATAAAGGGGCACATGCATGGAGTACAAAACTAGGCTCCATTTTTTCTGAGCGGCCCTCTGGATGCCAAAAAAAGGAGTGAAAAAAATTTCTTCAGAAATCGGAGTTTTCACACCTTCAACGTGGTTTATATCACTCGTTATGTTAAGTGGACGCACAATAGAAGGTTTTCTTCACCTGAACGTTGAAAACAGCGTGGAATAAAGCCAATACCAAAAATTGTATATAATAAGTGCTCAAAAGCACAAGGAAGTTTCATCAGAGTCGTTGACATTTCGTGCAGCGGTGGTCGGATGGTCGAGTGGATAGCGTGATGGGATCTGGTTGGCACGGTTTGTTCGAGGTTCGGTTCCCCTCCATGCTCGATTTTTGCATTTTTCCGATTATCACTTTTTTGCATTTACATGTGCTTGCGCGTGAACTTAAAGCCTATAGGTGTCATTTCCAAGAACTTTCTCCCACAATTCTGCGATATTTCGTAGTACCATGTTTTTCAGTTGTGTACGAAATTCCGTTTACAAGCAATAAATAACTAGCAGTTATGGTAAAACTCAATGAAGCATCTGAATCACAGGCGCGGATCACACCAACTGCATCTAACGAACGCCAGAAAAGTGAAGTTGTCATTTTCTTCGCAAGGAACACCTACTCCATTTCCCTTGAAGGCAGATTGCCGGCGTTGAGGAACGTCCAGGATGCTCGTCGACGTATGCCAGTGCCCACCCAGGCATACGCCATGCATCGACGAGATCAAGGGGTGATGCCAGATTGCCCCATGGGCAGGAACTGCGGTGGAAGTGTAACTATCAACCAAACGTGCCGCTTGCTATCATCTCGAAGCTGTCTCCAAGTGGGAAGCGTGCATGCCGTACTGACTATGGGCTAACCCATGGCCCAATTTTTGAATTCGGGGCCGAAATCTTGATCTTCTCTAAAACTGCGGCTATAAGGGTAATTATAGGCGCTGATTACGAATCTGACGTCCATTTTTGATGGAGGCGCGATATTGCGCCATTTTAGCCTCCTCGGGCACCAACTCGGCGCCGCTTTAGCGCCATACAATTTTCGCCCCAATTCTGGGCAGAAAGCTAATCAGAAAGGTTGATGATGACCCTGATTGTAAGAACAGTACCTATTTTTATCGGCGGTAACATTTGGAGTTATTTAACATGCGCTAACATGAAATGCAAAATTTTGTCATCAGCCGGGACCGATCCCTCGACCGATTTTTTCATACCTTTTTTGGCATTAGGAGGGCCGCTCAGAAAAAATGGCACCGAAGCCGTTCAGCCCCTTCTAGCGACTTTCCAAAGGCCGTGTTTTTTGTTCAGTCACACTACTTATCGTTGCTGACTAGGGCATCCTTGCCACACCAGTTAGCGCCAAAGTTAAAACCATCGCTGGAGCTGTCTTATAAAACACGAAAATCAGATTCGAAGTAACCGCTCAACGAAGAGTCTGAAAATCATACCTGCAGGTGTTCAAAAATCTCGTCGAAGTTCACAGTGAGAGCCTCATTATCTATTAGAAGCTCGCGTACAGCAAGAAATATTGATTCTGGAACTTTCAAGCAATAAGACATTTTCAAGACTACAAACCTGTGCGAAAGGACATGGTAAAGTCTAACAGTAAAAAACTGCCCTTCGGCACACTACAAAATAGACCGGAGCTTATGTTAAAATGATTCGAGTAGCAAGCAAAAAATCTACGCCTTACCTATGAAAGCATATCTACTATTGCACGTTGACTTGGATGGAGGTTCATACTGTTCCAGTGCAAAAGCTACCAGATTGGACAAGGAAATAGTTGACCCTAGTAGTAGCGCTATTATCAAAACAGGCCGCAAGCCTATTCAATTAGCAGATCATACCTTCTAAAAGTTGCTCCTTGAACCTGTTGTGTTTGACTAATGAAGAAATGGCAAGAGCAGCTTTTCCTCTAGCCGGAGTAGACATCATAGGAAAGAACACTTTCAACAGGAGTTCTGATGGCGACAAAGAACTATGTTCGCACAAATCTACAAGTGAGTATAATTCAGTACTACTAGTGACCACCTCACGTTGCGACTCAAAAACAAACTCACTTGAAATGAGGAAAACAGCATCCTTCTTAAACCGGTAAACAGGCATCTCTTCAGCCATGCGTTTCGTAGCAGCATAAAGGCTTGCTTCGTTAGATGGATCAGACAGCAGAACTTCACGGAGGCACATTGGAAAATGATCAATGCTCTGAGAAAAGGGTGGAAGACGAGCGTAGGAAAAGAATATGTGAAAACTACCTTGATAGCTTGGATTTTCCTATCAAGTGGGATGTTTTCTAGCAGCGCACCGAGAAGTTCTTCTGTACCGCACTTTGTAGCACAGAAGAAAAATTGCGTGGTGAGCTCCATCACCAACTGCAAAATTATATATTTTCGACAAACCAAAGAACTGTAGAGAGGGAAAGGAGGAAAGAGAGATGTTACGATAATGACAAACAAGTTCACCTGATCTATACCGTTAGTGTTTCGTAGTAGCTGGGTCCAACTTCTGCCACCTTTGACCAGATTATGTTTGGCTAAATGACGAGCAACACAGCTGGCGCGTTCGTCCTCATTAAACCCACTCAAGAGGTTCGGTATGATCTAAATGATATGAGGAAAACGAGGGATTAGAAAAACTGACATACAAAAACTTCTATGGAGAACCTCTTTTATTATGTAACCTCTCTTACCATCATAGTGCATTTTAACGGACGGATGTCAACACATTTTTCCATTTGAGGTATCGATTCCATGACACTGAAACGATTGGATTACTTTGTGTTGAATGAATTACTAAAGAAAAACACTGCGAACCACTCAAAATGCTCCAAAGTATTGATTAGTCGCGGATGACGTTCTACAAGCCAACAGTACTCGCCAAAACCAGAGTTCATCGATTCTCGTAACATCTGAAATATATCTCGCTTGAAAACTCCTTACCGGAAGTGCAGAGTCCAGGCCTTTTACTGGCAACTGTTACGTAATGTATCTACTCAGGAAGAAAGCCATTTTAGGAATGCAATTGGAATTAAAGGCAGCGATACCGATAAATTCAAGAAGGGTTCTGTGACGTGGTGGTGCTCAATGGTACGCCAGTGGCGAAAAAAGCAGAAAAATCCGTCAAGAAAACGCAAAACGGGACCCCTTTTTTGGCCGTTGGTTTTCACTCATGAACAGGTAACAGCTCAGAAAGTGGACGTATGAACGAGTTCACCGCAACGCGTTTGATGGCACCATGCCAAACCACGCTTTAATCGAGATGCTCCATTTGCGCCGCTGCTGGCCACGCAGCTCGTCCAAATCAACAAGTAAACTGTGGCGGATCGCTTTTGGGGGCGGAGCGCTTTCGAAGTCCTGCTCAGCAACCAGCACACCTTTTGTTGAGAAAACGCCACATCTCGCTTTCCGTGGCAACAAAGTAACTGATTCGTGCTGGTGTGTTTCCCGACGGCGCTTCCTCTGTATTTTAATCAGTTCACGTAAAAACATAACATCAGCTTTTAGGAAGAGTTCCGAACATTTCAGCAGCCGTCCCCACCCACCTTAGACGCAACTTTATTAAGGTAGTAGTACAGCAAACAGCAATTAATATCGATGGAATGTGAGAAAAAAATATAGATTCACTTCTTTCGTTTGAGCTCAGAAATCCCCTCAATATCGCGCAATCTCATCGCAGACGTTACGAAGCACGGCTATAGTCGCTTAAAGGTACATCGTCACGCTAGCTGCCCTGAAGTCAGACAACCCTCCTGAATGAACCCAACATTTGTTCAGAATGTGGCTACCACAGATGCCAGCCAGCTTCCTCGGAAAGATATTTCCCACTAAGAGATCATTACTCCCCCCATACGTAGGATAATTCATTAGATGTGACCGATTTCCGATGATATGACATTTTTCATAAAAAGCCAAGTCCTAGATTCGCTTCCATGATTTCCTGCCACCCTCTAGGACTATAGCACGACCCTTCACCATTCCCCTTCACCCTTCCCCACAAATACATCCATAATTCCTAGATCAGCACTTGGTTGTTTTATTTCGCATCAATCAGAAGTAGAACCAGTTTTCATTTTGTGAGCATATTTTAAAAATGAATCTTCTAAAAATAAAAAATAAAAACGAAAACAAACAAACCGAAGTGATGTCCTTGTCTGATATTGCAATTCCAAGTTCAATTTTTTCAACGACACTTTCTGCTGTGTCTAGCACACCAAGCTGTAATTGCCACCTACATGAAAAGCTTCAAAGCATCAAGCCAAGCCCACCAACCTGCTTGAGCGCGTGTTTGTCATCGGCCGTGAACGCCTCGAAAATTTCTTTCATCACATGAAGTTTATCTAACCAACCAGACGCATCTTTTTGTAAGAGTTCTGGGACATTACGAAAATCATCAGCAACGTCAAAAATCATGGCGAGCTCCTTATGAGGATCAATGCCCTGAAGAGAAATTTCAAATTGCTAAAACAAGGGAAATTGAAACTAGTGTAAACGTACCTCAGCCTGGAAGATGTCCAAATCTAGACGACTAAAATTGATCAAATTGTCAGCCAACAGCGCTTTCTCAGATAACAGTGGAACAAGTATTGAGCGACAGACCCAACCAAGCTCCTATGATACGCTGGTAAAGTACAATGAATACGTAGAGTACCAGAAGGTTCTCACACCTCATAAAGTCGCTGCAAAAGGTCCTCGTCGACACTGGTGATGTCTAGGTCTCTTGCGCTACTGAAGTCAACCTTGGCAAATCGGGAGCAGAGTCGATAGAATTCTTCACAAGAAACTCCAATACAGTCTGGAAGGTACTTGAGCAATCTCTACTCAGAAGTATGAGTCCAGAACAAAGAATTAATTTATTTAATCTATTTATGAACACAAAGGATCATTTTTCTATTTTGTATGCTTACGAGCTAATCTCCTTTTCCCTTTGGCTCCGTATGCTAACCATGAGTGTAACACAGGACTTCAGCGATATGGAACGGTACATCCAGTCTGCCATTTTCGCTCTCTCGCCTCGACAGCAAGGTGAATATTGGTCGAGGATTCCTCAACGGCACGTCGAGGATTTTTTCGCCGATCAGTTACGCTCTCCGCGCGGACATTCACACTCGCCATGCGCGAGCCGTCTGTGCTCTCCGCGCGTACGTTCACTCTCGGCACTACTCTCGCACAGTACAGAGCTATGGTCGAGGAAT